GCCTGTGCTCCGCAACGGCAGAGGCCGCAACAGTGAGAGGCCCGTGTACCGCAAAAAAAAAAATAAAACAAACAAACAGTGGGAAACTAAAGCCTGGGAGATAGTGGGGGCTTGGAGAAGGAGTAGCAGCAGGTGGCCCATCCCCCTTCCTACAACCTGACACCCTCCTCCCTCTCCATGCCCTCACTTTCAGTGGACCCCAATTGATGGCCTTCCCGAAACTGCTCCCCATCTCACCTCAGTGATGCCACCACAGTCGCCAAGCCAGAAACCTGGGGGTCATCCCTGGCCTTCCCTTCTAAAGGCCACTGGTCTTAACTGGAAGCTGAGAGGCTCCTAGGGGTGGCAGGCAAGTCTGCAAGTCTGCATGGACCCCGAGGCCCGACTGAGGTCCTGTCCAGCCCTGAGGTCTTTGATCCCACGGGGACGGGCCTGACAGTGCAGAAAAGCAGCACACCTGGCCTCAGGGCCACGGCAGGGCCTATAGACACCAACACTGTATCAGGACTGAAGGACAAGGCCACGGGCATTAACTTCCCATCAGGACAGGGGAGCCAGACACAGAGACACCCTGTCACTACGAAGGGGAGTCAGAGCTGAGCAGAGGGGCCAGGTTGCTGAGAAAGCAGCTGTCAGAGCCGGTGACCGCCTTTCGTGAATATCTGAGTCTAATAAAAGTGAAGAGGTGGAGACGGTTTCTTTTGTCAGTGAATAGAAGCTTAAATAGCCTAAGAAAAACTGCACAGGAGAAAATAAAAGGATGCTACTTAAGGTGAACAAGCACACTTAACTTGTCCCCGTCGAATCGTGGTATCAGCAACTCCTAATAACAAGCATTCGTTTAAAGCTCTTGGCTTCAGAAATGTTTTTCACACCTAAGGCTTCTCATTCCCACCTAAACATCCCAGATCAAGCTGCTCTGATTAGTGGGCCAGTTAAGCTGAGCCCAGTGGGTGCCAAGATAAGTCAGAATCCCTGAAGGGCCCTAAGCCTAGGTGCAGGCTGGTGGTGCTGGCTGGCGACAGGGGACAGATGCAATATTTCTTGCTTAGTGTCTTCTTCCCGCTGGACCAGATTAGTGAGCTGCGAGCACTGGGCATTCCCAGCCACTCCCTGTTGGGCGAGTTCCAAAAGATCCCTAAGAACACTTGTGCTGGGGCCTGGCTCTCTCGAGCCCACAGGAAGGAGAGCTTCGGCTTTCTGGCCCTTCCATTTGAAGCCCAGCCCTGCTCCTGTCACACGGCACCGCTCCTGCAGCAGCCTTCTTTGGCACGCCTGAACCCAGATGCTTCCATTTAAGCACTTACCTAAAAAGCACTCGCCCTTCTCACCAAACCACCGCCCTTTAAACAGGGCTCCGTGATCCCAAACAGCTCTTCCACCAACATGTAATAGGGGACTCAGTCCCAAAGCTGAACAGCGTTCTCTAAGGAATTCAGTGAGCACCAGGTACTGAACCTCACCTCTAGGCACCGTGAGCTGGACCCCTCCTGGCTTAGCTGTTCCCCCAGACACAGGAGTGGCATCCTCCTCTTCCTTGAAAGGGCAGTCTTCTTCAGAGAAACACCACCCCAAAGACATGAGCATGAGACACCTCGAGCCCAGCCCACAAGGAGGGACACAGGCTCTGGCCGGGAAACCAGTATGAGAGAGTGCAAGGTTGTCACACCCACACCCAAACCGCTCAGCTGACCCTCTAGGCTGAAGGAGCCAGGAGAGGCAATGTCGAGTTTCTCTCAATGCCTTTGCTCAAGATTTTTAAACATCTGCTTCACCTTCCTGACTGTGCTCACCTCCCATTTTCTGCTCTTGACATTCTGTCCCCAAGCTGGTCTTTTTCCCCAATTCAAGGATTTATTACTGTGGTAAAGAGGCCACAGCAATCTCAGTGACCAAGGCCGTGGGCCTTAAAATAGACCCGCCTGCCAAGGAACAGTTTGGGCAGATGAGTGAGCTGCGTGCACTGGGCATTCCCAGCCACTCCCTGTTGGGCTGCCCTAAGTATTCTTAGGGATATTTTGTCTCAAAAGACAAAGGATACAGGTGCTCCGACAAGGAGAGGGATGGGGGGCAGGGGGAGTGGCTCCAGGCAGGGACCTGTGCCTTTGGGAAGAGTGAGATGGGGAGCCAGACAGTGTCCGGGGCACAGCTCATCACCAGTCCTCCCACCAGTTTGCCCCTCAAAACTGGGCCGAAGACAAGTACATCCGTGTCTTCACTGCGGTGGGACTCCCTGTAGGTGCCCAGAGAACCTGGGCTGGGAGGTTCTTTTCCTTCCTTCTGAGAGTCTCAGAACGAGTTGCTCTGAGGAGCAAACATAAACGAGAGAGTCCCCTTTGAGGCTGGGATGTGAAGGACCAGGCCGGACGACAAACACCTCGCCCGCTGGAAGATCTAGCTGAGATCTGGTGGCCTGCCCCAGCCCCACAGCTGGCTGGCCGCAGTCCATCGAATGACAGCAGCTCCCTCCAGGGCCACGCAGTCTCCACCTGTCTGTAAGAGCCGCCTGCCTGCAAGTTCACAGAGGGTGAACAGACGCGGCAGCCCCAGTAAAAAGCCTTTGCCTTCATTATCTCACTTAATCTTCCTGGTGACACAGTGCCCTGTGAGGGATATAGTACAATTATCAGCCCCACGTACAAAAGAGGCAGCTGAGACACAAGATATTAAGACTGTGCCGAGGTCCCACGGACTCTGAAGTGTTCCCAGAGTCCCGCCTGTCTGTCATCTAAGTCTCCGCCTGCTCTCCCTGCCACACTGCCCTGTCCTGCAGATTTGCTCGATGCAGTAAAGAGCTGGGAGACGACGAAGCTGGTTTCCAAGTCCAAACCAAAAGAGCTCAAACTCGTGGGGCCATGAGACTCTCTGCTAATGGCTGCCCTGCGTATCTTCATGGGGACTCTGCCTGCTGCACCGCTTCAACTGTTAACAAGACAGTATCTTATCTGAAAAAAGATACACAGAACGGAGAACAATTCTCATAAAGATGCGTAACCCACAAAAATCAATATATAATTTTTTTTAGATTGGTTTATCTATTTAACAAATACTATTTGCCCCTCTATCATCTGTGAAACCCTGTGGTAGATGCTATGAGGGGAAAAGGAAATGAATTTAAGACTATGTTATTTACCTACCAAGGACCAAAAATCTTTCATCTCTCATCCATGTCGATTAGACTGTGAAGGTTGCCTGTAGAATTGGGCCTCTATCTGGGATCTGTGAGCCAAAGCCAACAAACTTTGGCTTTTGCCAACGTAGACTTCAGAAATTCATAAATTAATGGTCTTTTTTTTTTTTTTTTGCGGTACACGGGCCTCTCACTGTTGTGACCTCTCCCGTTGCGGAGCACAGGCTCCGGACGCGCAGGCTCAGCGGCCATGGCTCACGGGCCTAGCCGCTCCGCAGCATGTGGGATCTTCGCAGACCGGGGCACGAACCTGCGTCCCTTGCGTTGGCAGGCGGACTCTCAGCCACTGCACCACCAGGGAAGCCCCTAATGGTCTAATTTTAAAGCAGCCATGGTATTCTTTTGTGAGAAGAAAAACATCATTTCCCTGAAATTCCCATCCTCTCTAAAATTAAGTTCGGATGGCAATTAACTGCGAGGGTCAGTTCTCCGATGTGACTAGATCAACAGGCAAGTAACTTGGAAAACATCACATGGAAGTTAGTTTCAAAGACAGGCTGAGTTTCAAAAATCAACCATTTCCTGAGCATCTTATGGACAACGAGGTTCACCTTGTCATCCATTTGTTCAAGTTGCTGAACATCCCAGGGGAAGCTCTCGGGTGCCTGGCACCATAGAGGCCCTGGGGATTCCCAGGGAGAAAGACACACACACACAGGGCAACAACAAACCAGGAGGTGTGCTCCCAGGAGAGGGAAGCTCGGCAGGCTTGGGGCACAGCAGCAGCAGGAGGAACGAGACACCAGCACAGTGTGGGCAATCTCAGAAGGCTTCACAGAGGAAGTGAGATTTCTCCAGGTGGGCAGCAGGCACTAATGCAAATGCATTGCAAGAGGAGTAAAGCGCATACCCCAAGGTATGGGGAAGGGTGGGGTATGCATGTAGCTCTGTGTGGCCAGAGAACAACAGGGGAAGAGTGGCAGCAAATGAGGCCGGGACCAGCTTGTGAAGGTCCTCTCACAGCATTTCACCCTCTAGAGCTTGGCCTTTATCCGTTAGGCAAGGGAAACCACTGAAGGGAGCTGCCCATTCTTCTCTAGCAATAGTGCAGAAGCAGGCAAGGACCTGAGGGAAGGATCCTTCTCAGAGGAACCTGCAGGGCTCTCTGGGTGCCCCTCCCCAAGTACAACCAGGCTATGGCAGCCTGTCCACCCCCCCCCCCCACCTCAGGAGCTCTCCAACACCCTCCCCCACTCCTCTGACGCAGTATCCCCTTTCACCACCCCAACATCCTGGACAGTGAAGATGGAGGTCTTTCTACTGCGTCAGCAGTCAGCATGCAGGACCATCCCCTGAAACTCCGCCTACCTCTCTCCTGCCACTTCCCCAGCTGGCTCTGCCTCCCCGCCTCCCCGACTGAGGGAGGGGCAGGGCAAGTCAGGACCGGGGAGGCAGAGTGAGCCGGGGAGCAGTGCTTCTTCCTTCTGCGCTCGCGGACAGACGCTGAGCAATGCGTATAGCTCCATCAGACCCTCGTGCACCCGGATCTGTAGGCTCGTACTTCCTTCCTCTCAGACTCCTCGGCAAACGGCCGTGCATCTTTCTTTGATGAGAAACGGAATCCCTCAGTTCCCTTTCTCTCCACCTCAAACCTCCCCTCCGCCCTTTGATCCCCTAACCTATCATCACTGAGGCCGGAACCTCTCCATTACTCCCTCTCTAGGCTGAATCCACATCTCCCCCTCTTCTGCTCCTTCCTCCCAGCCCCCACGGACATCAAAGCCTCTGCTACCTTAGAACACGTCCTCTGGCCCGCATCCCCCAGCTACCATTTCATGCTCTTCCTCTGCTTCACTGCCAAAGGGCTCACCTCCCGTTCTCTCCGACGCCCACCGCTATGAGATTTCCACTTATTGCCTGATGTGCTCTCTCGTCCATCGAGCTACTTTGGTTATTTTCTTGAGAGGCGGTACGTGCAGGGTGAGGTTAAAGCACAAGCTGGAGAACCGGACCGCCTGGGTTCAGAATCCCTGCTGCAGACTCTCACTCGCCATGCACGTGTCCTAAGGCAGGACGCTCACCCTCAGCGCCTCCGCTCCCTCATCTATAAGATGAGAATAATAAAAGTACTTCCTCAAGAGCGGCTGTGAAGGTAACATGAGACCGGCAATCAGTCAGTGTCAGCTGGGATCACTTTCCTTGGCAAACCCGAGACTCTCCTCTTCTGGCATTTGGGACAAAGTGCTCTCTGGGTCCTTCCTTCACTAAATGTCCTATATCTCAGCTCCACTCACTGCCCCGGGGCCGATTCTGGTTTCCTTCTACAGTCTCTCCCTGGATAATCCATACTTCATTTCCATGGTTATGACTCATAACGCTAGATCGCTCCTGTAAACTCCAGACCCAAACACCCAAATACGCATCAGCTTTATGGCTACGTCTTAGCAGCCCCTGAGATTCTGCATGTTCAGAAACTCTCAGCATGGCCCTGCCCTCGCTTGGAAGCTCCTAGCCTCCTGGAACTGTACACCCTGCACTGCCCTGGGACTCTTCCCTGCCCCCTCCCTCTCCTTCAAACAGCGGCCACATCCCTGGGCATCACTCTGTGCAGGGACGTGCTTCTCCATCTCAACCTTCCCACTCCAGCTGGCCCAGCATGGGTTCAGGTGTCCAGAACTAGGTATTGGAGGGCCTCCTCTCACCTGAACGGTACCCGGCCTCTCCCACAGCAGTCCAAACTCAGGAGTCTGGCATCCAAGGCTAACCACAAATTATCCTGGACATGTGACAGTAATAATAACGGCTGTCATGTATAAAGCACTCACTCTGCTTTGAGTTAAGCATTTATACGCATCTCATATCTCAAGAGTCATAACCATTACTGTCCACATTTTACAGACGAGGAAACTGAAGCTTCGAGAGGTTAAGCTGGTCAAACCACACATCCAGGGAGCAGCAGAGGTGGCATCTGAACCCAGGCAGTCTGACCCCAAGGTCATGTTCTTAACCACTCTGTACTACCTCACCAAGCCTGGTCCCTTCCAACCACATCCTTCTGAGTTCCTGACACTCCAGCCACAGGAGAGCATTCTCATTTTGCCGTGCCCTTTCCATGCTGTCCCCTCAAGCTGAAGGTCCAGTCTCTGGCCATCAGAACTAATTTTTCAAGGCCCAGGTGATTCTCCTTCCTCTATGACAGCATTCCCACCCCTACCTGTGCAAGAGAACTTCTGCTGAGACCCACAACACACGCTCAAGCCTTCATTTAGTTTCTGTTTCGTGTTGCCACGGGGATAGCCACAGGGAGGACACTGGCGGTCTCTCCTTCCCGGACCTTCTCACGGTGTGGCTGTGGGGGGAAGCTGAGTATCTGATTGGTGGGAATGAGAGAGGGAACTGAGCCGAGGGGCCCAGCCCCATCCTTCCCTCTGTTTCCAGGGCCGCCTCGCCAGAGGGAAGAGGCCTGTCCCGTGAGGAAGACTGCAGCCAGCTGGGTCCCAGACAGAGGTGGGTCTGTGGACTCAGCAAAGGGATCCACTGGGAATCCTATTAGCCACATTCTCTAAACACCTTTATTAGCCCTGGAGCTGATATCTTGGTCTCCACTTGTCTGACTCGTGGTCTTATTTTTCAGTTGATGCCAAACTCAGAGGGCATTTAAGTGGTACACTTACCACACACACCCCCGCCCTGCCTACCTGGGTCACCCTCAGTGAAGGATGACTGGTCAGAGTTGGTCTGTGTGGCCCACTGGCAACTAACTGATACTACATCTCTGGGGGGATGAGTAGCGATCACTAACAAGGGTGCCCCAGAGCAGCCTGGGGTGACCCCGCCACCATCCACATGGTGCTGTCTGGGAGCCTGGCTCCCCAGCCACCTGCAGATGACCCTGTAATTCACTTTCCCAGGTAGGGTCCCGCCAGGAAGGCAGGCATTTGTTGTAGCCTCTGGATGACACCTGCCAAAGCAAATGAGCCCATTGGTGTCTGGTGTATAGCCCAGCCTTGTCGGTCTGGTCAGCGTGAATCAGACCCCAGGCCACAAACAGCCTCCGATGAATGGATGATGAGGGTGTCTGACCCAGCAGGCTGGCCTCCCACGCCATCCTCACCTCTATCCTCTCCCCTATCCACACCCACTTCCCCCCGTGGCAGACAGAACCCTGCCCCACTGACAGGAGCCTCCGGCGGTGTGTTTCCTCAGCCCCAGAACACACCCTTCAAAGACAGCTACCCTCACTGTCTCGGTCACAGCAGAGAACAGGCACGCATGTGCACACAAATTTAGCCCCAGGGAGGAACAAATGACCATCAAGTCGTTCTACCACCTCGACCTGATGGTAGACAGATTCAGAGAAATGCTTCCAATGCAACCTCAGCTTGACTACTTCCCAAGCTTCATCTCAAAAAACGCCTCCTAAAAAAACAGAACCAGCGAGGGGTTACTGTTGAAGCTGAGTGATGGATAAGGAGATTCATTAGACTATTCCTTCTACTTTTTTGTATGTTTGAATTTTTTTTAATAACAGAAGTTTTGTTTTGTTTTTTTTAATCCACCACTTAGGGATCTGGGCTTTTCCAGAGGGCAATACCAGATTCTACCTTCCCTTGCTGAGGACCGCCAGAACCTAAGTTCCTGACGACTCAGACGGTGCTCTTTCTGCGGTGCCATTCAGACTCCCTGAAGGTCCTAACATCTGACCAAACCCTCATCCCACCACCATCCAGACCCTCACCATCTCTCACCTGGATTTCCAAAGCTGCCTCTCCTAGACTTCCTACTTCTAGCTGACTCTTCTTCAATGCTTCTTTCCCAGAGAAGGCAGGGTATGTTTCATAAAGCTCATGACATTACTCCTCTGCTCTCAGAGCCTCTGTGGTTCCTCACTGTTTTGGGAACAAAGCTGCATTCTGTAGCTCAGCCATCCAAGTCCTCCAAAAAGATTCACTTCCCCGTGGTACTCACCGTGCTCTCGGTCAAGCCACTTGCTACTCTCTAAATACAGAAAACTTTTCCTGTTTTCTCTAATTTCTCTTTTTAGGATGCTTTTCTCCACCTATATTTTCAAATCTCACCCATTCTAAGAACTTATCCAAATGCACCAACCCAAGGAAGCCTTTCCTGACACCGCTACCCCCAGGGCCCAAAGGTGGTGGATGCCTCCACTCTGCTCCTGCCACACTCGCACTCACGTTCATCATCTCCTTTCCAGCTCTGTTTATATGATTCCTCAATACGTCTGTCTCCCCTTCCAAATTAAGATGCTTGAGAGCAAGGAGGATGTGCTATTCACTTGTCCATCCTCAGGGAACAGCAACCAGTATCCACTTTCTTACTTTCTCCATACCCGAGGCCCCCTCTCTTTGTGGTCTTATGCTCAGAGGTGAAGGCAGCTCTGCCATAAGGGGCACCTGACCGTGCTTGGGCCTGGCATGAGCTAACTGATGAATGCAATTATATTCCCAAAGCTTCGATGGGAGAAGATGTAACTTCCCCTAATGGATGATAAAACCAGGCATTTCTCCTCATTCTATTATTTTCGAATGCTAAGCAACAAGAAAAATAAAAAACGGATCTGAATTGGCAAGTTTTCTCTATCATCTAGAGTGTTCAGGGGCCTCGTGCATAACTTTAGCCTGCAGCCAGCTACCTCCTACGAGCCTCCCAAGCTGCCTGGGGAGGAGCGCAGGCCCCTGGTAAGTACTAATTGAATTAATCAACATTTATTCTGTATTTTGAACCTTCATTTCAACAAGTGTTAAACAGTTTAATTTTGAATCAATGCAATAGCTTTCCTTCTGCACTAAAAAAAAAAAAAAAGTTTAAATTATTAGGAGACCAAAGAATTTCCTTAAAGATGGGCTGTGTGCATCAACAGTCTGGCTCCTGCCTCTGTCAGAGGAGAAGGGGGCTCCCTCTGCAGGCCTGGCTGGAGGGTATTAGTGGAAGGTTAGCAGCTCTGTCTTCACTGGAGGGCTGAGGGCCACATGGAAGCCAGGTGAAGACACCAGGCAGAACCCACTGCTGCCAGAGAGCCCAGACTACAGGGAATAGGGCTTTCTGGGCTGAGCCTTTGGACAAAGCCAATCAAACTTCCTCCGCTGGCTGGGCTGAGTCTACCTGCCTCTCCTGGTTCCCTTGGCAGGACCAGCAGTGAATGCCTCTCCGTGCCTCATCATGACACCGAGTCTTGTTCACTGAGGCTTTTGGAAACATCCTGTTATGAGCTGAACTGTATCCCCCTCTCCCAAATTCAGATGTTGAAGTCCTAACCCCCAGTACCTCAGAATGTGAATGTATTTAGAAATAAGATCTTTAAAGACGTAATTAAGTTAAAAATGACACCATTAGGGTGAGCCCTAATCCGACACGACTGGTATCCTTATAAAGACACAGACAGGTACAGAGGGAAGACCTCGTGAAGACACAGGGAGGAGATGACCGTCCACAGCCAAAGAGAGGGGCCTCTGAAGAAACCAACCTTGCCGACTCCTTGATCTTGGACTTATAGCCTCCAGAATCGTGAGACGATAAATTGCTCTTGCTTAATCCCCCTAGTCTGTGGTATTTTTGTTATGGCAGCCGTAGCAAACTGACACATGCCCCCATCTGATCTCGGATACACGCTGGACAAACCTACGGGAAGAAGGCAGCCTCCTCTCCAGAGACGTGGGTCTCTGTTCTCATCCACTGGTGTTCCTCTTCCCTCTCAGTCTAAGGGAGATGGCTTTGCATCTCCAGACCTTATACAACATCCAGGTAAGGACAGTTCCTGACAGTCCTTTATCTATCGTCTTTGTAAGTCAGCTCCGAGTCAGGTCATGCCTGGGGACCATGACCATTTAGTGAGACCAGATGTTGGTATGTTGTAAGGAGGAAACCTGAAGACCCCGCAGCCTGACCAGCTGTCACGCTGCATTCAAGGAGCCATGAGCCCTGGGCCCAGCCCTCTTCTCTTCAAGGCAATTCAACAATCCAGCATATGATGGGGGGAGGGAGGGGCAAAGCCGGTCCCCTAACCTCAGCTCACCAGTCACAAGACACTTGCCACTCAGATCACTTCCCTCCGCTAAGAGTACTTAGGCCAGAGAGTGGCCCAGGGACTTTCCTAAGAAAAGTGATCCAGGAATCCCCCATCTGCACACATACTCACAGACCACAGACAAGCCGGCTGGGGACTGCACTGCAAGAGGTCTCCCCTCCCTGGGGATCCATGAGGTCTGGCTCCCGGAAGTCTGTCATTCTGACCCCAGGGGAGTGGGAGCAACTGCGACAGCTCCTAGAGGCCTCTCTCCCATCGTTCTCACCTCGTCTTTTCCACAAAGCAGGGCCATTATTTTCCCATGGGAGACACCTGAACAGTTCCTTAGTCTCAAAGTGAAAGGTGTAGAAGCCTGTGTGATGCAAAAGGACCACAGAAGGGGAAGGCAGTACCTACACCAGAGGCCCACAGCCCAGCCCAACCTGGACCCCTAAGTCTTTGCAGCTCCTTCCTCACTCCCCTGAAGAAGGAGACGAGCAAGATACAACAGAGAGAGTCCAGGCTTGGGAGTCAAGACCGACTTGGGTTTAAATCCTGACTCTACTGCTTAGAGCTGCGTTAGTTTCTGACCTTGGGTAACATAGATTAACCTCTCAGGTTACTGTGTAATGAAGATGTTACCACCTGCCTCACACAGGGCTGGTCAGAGGGTTAGGGGGGCAGAGTCAACCACCCAGCTCAGTGCCTGGCCCTTCTCAGAGACCGTGTCCCCACTGCACTATTCCAGAAGATGGACCTCTTATCAGGGCCTAAATGTTGGGATCAGGAAAAAAATATGCAACACTGGCTCCCTTTGAGAAATTGCCAGATCTCTTGAGGCCAGCCTGCAATTAGGGGAACCCTAGGGTACCGCGCAGCGCACTTGCTCTGTGCTTTCTGCGTCTCTCTAGCAGGGCCTTGCAGAATGGTAAGGGAATTGATGACATGCGCGCTCTTACAGCCCCTGGGTGCCTCGCTCAGTCATTCTGCCAGTCCCACCAGGCACCCAGCTTAGGGGCGGTGAGCAGGCAGAGTTTATGATGTTCTCGGGCCATCTGAAGGCAGGTACCGGGCAGAGAAGTCACAGCTGTGGAGATGGATTTGGGGGCCCCAAACATGGCGGCTAAAGCTGAAGCTGGGCTCCAGGGCTTGGGAGGATGAAGGGCCAAATTCTGACCACATCTGTGGAGCAGGAAGGCCCAGACCCCAGGCACTGGCGTCGGGAGAACCCTTAGTAACTCAGAGGTGGCCTTGAGAGAGGACGGCCGAGTGGTAGTAGTGTCCCAGAGAGGCCCCCAATTGCGCCCAGTGGGCGTCTCACTCTCAGACACCTAGAACCAAACAGGCGAGCACCCCCAAGTCACTCAGGAATGGGCTCCGCACGGGCGTGTGACAGTGATGCCACAGACGCGTCTCTCACGCACTCTGCAGGCTCCCTCTCACGACTGCCATCCCTCACTCGACTGTCACCAGCTTTATTTAAAATTCTCTTTCAGGAGTGCCCTGGTGGCCTAGTGGTTAGGATTCCGGGCTCTCACTGATGTGGCGCGGGTTCAATCCCTGGTCGGGGAACTGGGATCCTGCAAGCTGCATGGTGGGGTGAAAAAGATAAAAAATAAAATTTCCTGTCAAATGTAAGTAATCACGACATGTGAAGACTGGATTTGTGACCCTGGAGTAGCCCTTTACGTTTTCAAAGGCGGGACATGGGGGTACAGCTCTGTCCCCCAAGCGCCCTGTAACACGAGATCCCAAGACACTGCAGCCCAGATACGCCCTCCTCAGCACCCCGGCCTCCCTAGGTGGTCTTCTCGGGGCTTCCTCCCTAGGCTGAGGGAGACCTTCCCATCAGGAAGCCTGAAAGATCCTAGGTCCACCCTGAGGACAAAAGCCAGGTGTGGCTGGCAGAGCTGGGTCTGGGTTCCGAGCTCCAGGAGGCAGGCCGAGCTGGACAGAGGGAGTGGCCCTGTGCAGACCTGGTCAGTAATGAGGACCGGCTGGCTCCACAGGACACAGGATAAGAAAGTACCTCA